CCGGCACGGGGTGGGGGTGAGCAGCCCAGACAAGTGGACCCTGCAGGGCACAGCTCAGACACAGCCAAGAGGAGAAGGGGGCACAGGGCTGGGGGGCCAGCCGAGGCAGGCCAGGGCCCCCCCCAACCTCCGTGGACACAAGAGACCAGTGGGGAGGTACCGGACAGGACAAATGAACAAATAGATGGCTGAGGGATGAGGCAGAGCGAGGGGGACTCCCATGGCCCCTGCTCCCACCCCAGGCCAGGTCACAGCCCCAGATGGGTGTCAGGGGAATCAGGCCAGGCTGGGACCGTCCAATGGATGAGGAGGGAGGGGAGCCTAGCACCCCCCAAGCCCTCAGCATGGTGGCAGTGGGGATAGGACACCAGCCGGAGGGGACAGCCAGGCCAGCGTGAAGCCCCACAGCTCCGTGGGGGAGGCTCCCTCCCCGCAGGAGTGAAGGGGATGGCCAAAAGGACCTTCTCCCACATTCCCGGCCAGCCTGGGGATGCTCCCATTGGGCAGGCGCCACCAGGAGCAGGGGGCTCCAGGTGCCCCTGCAAAGCCCCCATGCGGGTTTCTCCAGCAGCTTTATCCTTGGGGGGGCACGGCATGGGTGCCCCTTCCCTTGCCTCCCTGCCATGGTCTCAGTCCTTCTCCTGTGCCAGGCTCTCCTCCGTGATGCCCTGGGCCGCAAGCTCGGCCAGGACATTGTCCAAGTAGTTGATGTCGGGGTAGCCATGGCCAGTGAGGTTGGAGCCGAACTCTGTCTTGTGGTGGATCTCATTCCAGATCACCGTGTCTGACTCGCCTGTGGTGCTGGAGGTCCCAATGGCAAAGATCAAGCGCCGGTCCCAGGCTACCAGCAGCAACTTCAGTACCTGTGGAGGGGAGAGATGAGGCAGGCAGCAAGGCAAATGCAGCGGGGAAGCACCCACTTCTGCTCAAGGCACACCTGATCATCCTGGTATGCCCCGGCAACGTGGGCAACCCACAGCCAAGCCCTCCCAGGGAGCTCGGGATCCCAGCATGGGGTCCTACCCCAAACAAAATAGTGGGACAAGGCTGCAGAGCTCCCCCAGCACATGGGAACGTTGCTGGGCTCCTGCAGAGCATGCCAGATGAGCTACGGGGAAAACCTCCACCCAGATTTGCCTGCATAAGCCCTATCTGCTTTTCCCCATGCTCCAAATAGCTGCTCACTCCCTCTCCCCCTCAATATGCCCTTGAGCATGCCTTGGCCAGCTCGAGCCACCCAGGTGAGCCCCTCACCTTTCTGCCCTTCTCACTGTCTGGCAGGTAGCAGTGCCGGGGGAAGCCACGGGCGGTGAAGCTCTTCCCGGGGTTTGGATGCTCTGGTCCCTGCAGCGGGTGGAGTGGGAGAGGAACAAAACCCTTTTGGAGCTCAGAAGGATGCTCTGGGCATAAGGTAACCCCCCAACCTCAGTGGACGCAGAGCTGCTTACTGCTGTGCTGGGCGGCCATGCTCCAGCATGGTGGCCCTAAATGCCACCATCCCCCCTGCCACCAAGCAGACGGGGCCAACACTTTCATGCAGATGTACCCCAGACTCCCACAACATCCTTACAGACACGCAGCTCCTGAGACATCATTGAACCCAGAGCCCCGAGTCAAGGCATGAGCTGCAGCATGACCCGGGGGTGATGCAGCAGTGACAAGGGCCACCAGCCCCCACAGGGGACCACCCATGTACCTCCCTGGGCATAGGACTGGGCCGAACCTGCACCCCCGGGGGGATGTTGTAGATGATGCGGATGGTTTTGCAGTCAGAGTGGCCAGGCAGCGTGTGAGGGATGATGTGATATTCCATCTTCCCCGGGGGCTGTGTCCCAGTCTTCACCCCATAGATGGTTTTGCAGGTGGGACACTGCAGGCTCCCATCCTGAGAGCAGGAAAAGAGGAGAATATAATGAAACCGGTATCCCCCAGCACTGAGCCAGACCAGGCACTTCATCCCTGAGCAGCACTGAACGCCATTTTCATCATGAAAACAGTCATTTCAAAAACACTTAGGAGGTAGGGGGTAGGGCTGTGAGAATTTGCTACAGCAACCCAACTTTAACCAAAAACCTGAGGTCTGCATTTCTTTGCCTCATCAGTTTCACAGTTCCCTCTACTTTCCCTACCTCTGTTTTGGGTTTTTTATTTTTTTTTCAAAGAGGGAAAGATAATAAATATTAAAAAACCCCAAGCAATGTGAAATGCATTTTCCTGGGAATATCGAGCACAAGGGCCATTTGCAGGGGGCTCAGGAAAGCCCACCTGCGGCTGGAAAGGCACTGCCCAGTGCGAGATGCCAGGTAGCTCTGCTCAAACATGCCGGGATCAAAGTTCACCACCACTAACCCTGAGAAGGAAAGCAAGGACGTAAACCCAGGCATAGTGGGGGAAAAAACACCCACACAACCCTGGTTTCTGATTTAGCAGTCCCAAAGTGCTTGCTGCTGATAAAAATTAAACTCTGTCAAGGGCGGGGAGGTCAGAGCCCTCCGGGGCAGCAGGACTCAAGCGTCGTCCCACTGAGGGCAGGTGGAGCTCAGCACAGCTTGCCGAGCTGGGGGCTTGGGCATCCCCCAGGGCTGCAGCCTTGCACCTTGTTGCCGTTGTTGTACATGGCGACCAGGCAGTGGAGGTGGAAGACGTGGCCACACTTCACCAGCTTCCCCACCAGGTCGGGCTTGAGGGCTGGCTGGGGTCCCTTGTAGCCGGAGGGTGCAGAGAGGCGCTCCATGCAGATGGTGCAGTCCTGCACAGAAGGGGAGGAGAAGGGTCAGATGGACAGATGCAGCCAGAGCCTCGCCATGGACATGGGGCTGATGAGCTGCCCTGCTCTTACCCAGGGACCAGCACCCACCCCTGGTGCCATGCCGTCACCCTGGGCCACCGCAGGGGCTGGCCAACACATGCATGCGGCACGCAGCCCCTCTTCGGAGGGGGATGGGGACAGGGCAGAGCCATGAGGGGCAGCAGGAGACCCCTGCGTGGCATGGGGGCATTGCCTGTGTCCCCAGTCACTCCTCCCACAGCAAAGCACCCCATGGACACCCCAGCGTGACCCCCGCTGCTTGCACCTCATCCGGCGGATGCCGCACCTTCTGCAGGTATTTTTTCAGTACCTCCTCTGGAGTTTTACCTGTGGGAGAGCAAAAGTCAGAGGGGCTGGAGGGCAGCATGGGGGAAACCCACTGCTGGGAGCAGTGGGAGGAGACAGGGGAACCAGGTTGAGAAGCGGGGACAGGAACAGGGGCCAAGTGACAAAGTGCCTCTCACCCTTCTTGGCCTGTTTCTTGGTGGTCTTGCGGCAGGTGTGGGAGATGCCAGGGATGGACTGGATCTCGCTTTTGCTGACAGGTGGGGGGTGCAGCACCAGCTTGGGGGGCCGTGTCAGGCAGACGGGCAGCCCAGCTGCACTCATTAGGATTCCCGTGATCCCTGGGCGAGGAGGTTCGAAATGGCACTGAGGAACCAGTGTCACCCCAAACCCCAGATGTTCCCCCAAAAACCACCCCACTGGGGCTGACTGCCCCCCGGGGAGGCCAGAACACACGGGCACCAGGCGCCCTGCTGCAGCCCCATCCTCACCTGCCAGTGCTGGGTTGACAGGACTGGAGCCAGTGAGGTTCTTCACAGGGACAGTGGGGACCCTGCAAGGAGCCAGCAGAGACCACATCAGGGCCGGCGGCAGGCACCCACATCCCCGCAGCCCCCGGGGGCCGGCAGGGGCCAGACAATAGTTGCCTGAGCAACTGCATGGGCCCTGGCTGGAAACAGAGAAACCCCCAACGGGGCAACATGCCCCCCCTGCCCCACTGCCGCCTTTTCTCTTGCTCTTTAGAAACCCCGCCTGCATCTCCATTCACAGCCCCTTTTTGTCACCGCTCCCCGGGCTGGTCTGTTGTTTTTTTTTCTCTTTTCTCCTACAGCCACGTCACTGCCACAGCTCTTTCCCCCCCTCCCCTTGGGGCTCTCTTCCATGGGAAAGTTTCCCGGCGGGTCAGGAGCGGAGGGAAGGGGGAGGATGGAGAAGGAGAGGAAAGGGGCCAGGCTGCGACAGAAGGCTGACAGCAGAGCCAGACAAAGGGGAGAAACAGGCTCATTAAACACCCACCCCCTTGAAAAAAAAGTGTCTTCGGAGGGTGGGGGTCTGGAGGGACCCCTTCTCATGGGGCCTGAATGGCTTTTCTTTGGGCCTTTCGCAGTCCCCCACCCGTCCCCTGCCACCAAGAGAAAGAGCAGCCTCAGCCTCCTCATTGAGATGCAGGAGCCACCCCATCCTTGCTCCAGTCCCCAGGCACCCGCAGGGAAGGAGAGGGGCCCAGCAGAGCCCTTCGCCCACGGGAGGTTGAGGACTGCCGAGGTCCATCTCCCACCAGGCCCAGGGGTGACAGCACCCCTGCAGGGGGGAGCCCCACAGGGCTGCAGTCCCTCTGTTCCCTGGGGAGGAGAAAAAAAATTGCGCTGCACCTGTTCTCCCCCCAGCTACCCTCTCGCTCGCACACGGCGGGACTCACCCAGAAGCAATGAGTACCCGGGACTGGGCGATGGCCAGGCGCTGGAGGTGGCTGCGGTTCAGGGTGCCGAGGCCAGGACGGGATGCCTTGCCACTGCCCGTGCCAGGGGGGCTGGTGGTGGAGCTGGCTGACTGCCTTCGTGCCCCCGCCCCCCTTGGGCTGCCAGCGGCTTCAGCGAGCCACGCACCGGGGCCATACCATTGGGCACCTTGGCCCCTGGGGCCAGCGCTGAGGCTTTGGGGGCGGCAGGTGGCGCAGGGGGGGCTTTGCGGGGCTGTAGGGGGGCAGTGCCAGGGG